CAACATTTCTAGAGATACCATACTCCTTTCAAGTGCAGTTTTGATTGCTCAAAAAATTCATTGCTCCCATATGATGGATTAAGATCTACTACAATGAAATTGGGACCTGTTTGAACTTAGCACCACCCTCTCGTCCTCCTACCAGTGGAAACAGGATCATTGGACTTCCAGACCCAGAACCCACCTGCAGATTTTGGGTCCCTGTGCCTGATGGAACAAGCATAGAAATAAATGCATCTATAGATATAAACAAAACCTATTTTAGAGTAGTGGGATTTGGCCTGGCCAGACATTCTGGAGCTATCAAGATAGAAACTGTTTAATTACCAGAATCTCCAGCATAGGATCAATTTGAGAAGCTTGTTGGAATTGATGGCTGATTTGGATATTTTGGGGAGTGAACGACAGTTGAATTTCTTAAATCTGTTGAGGCTGATAATCTCTCTCTTGACACTGAAAATTGAAAGGATGTTGCTAAGCCCATTAAAAATTTAGGTGATTGAGCATTTAACTTAATTGAAGTATTGCCTGGAATGTCTTTCTGCATAATCAAAAAGATTTTTGAACGTTTTGTAAGCTAGGCACATGGCATCTGGTATCCCCAGCTAAAAAGGAAGTCACTGCTTTTATACTTATGTGTTTTATCATTGCTCAGTGTGATTAACCAGCCTATAATTATTTGTTTAAAAACATTTATTATGCTGTATTTTAAGGTGCATACTGTGAAGAAGCAAATTAGAAATACATTTTTAGCCATCCATGACAATCATAGGACCTTGTCAACAGTACTGAAATTGCAATCCAATTTTCATTCCAAAAATGGTTAACATGGATAAGAGAATGAAACTGTTAAGTGAATGAAATGTCTTTACAAAATCATTATTCATGCAATCATTTTGCATTATCCTCACTGTTTAAATAACTTTGTACAAATATTTTGCAAATTTGGCATACGCTCCACAGTGAAATAGCAACAAAGCATGTTTACACCTTGTGCCAGGTAAATTTAATATGCTGTCCTTCCCTGTTCAAATTAACGCACTTAATATGACACTTAGCTTGCTGATAACTGGTTTTGTTTAGTTATACATCCCTCAGTGGGTTAAACCTGGGAGAATTTCACATAATTAAGCTGGAAGCCAAACGTTTGCTTCAAATGTGAATTTTCTCAACAAGATATGCAACCAAAGCTTTCTATGCAATTAATCTTTAAGATATGGCCCCTAATGGTGAAGGCAAAATCAAAATTGTGCTTGAGGTATTTTCCAATTTCTACTATTAATTTGAACAGTCCCATTTTCTAAGTTGTCCCAGAAGGGTGTTAGCTATTTTGATGAACAGATGTTTTCCTCATTTTACATTTTTAAATCCAAAAGTCAGGAGACTGGTTTTGCTCTTGTGCAGCAAAATCAAATTGTAGTTGTCTCATTTAATATAATTCATATCTGTTTAAGCTACTAACTTGTTAGAATTTGAAAACACTGTATTTGTCAAAATATTATCAATATTGTCTTTTGTCACTGTAAGGGATCAAATAATCAACTTGTGCATTCTTGGTTGAATCCATACATTATGAGGTCATGTAACTGGTTAAACTAAAACTAACTTTGTGTATAGAGATAGTGGGGACTGCCGATGCTGGAGAATCTGAGATAACAAGGTGTAG